AGTTGTATTCCTTAATGTCTAAAGATTTTGTTTGGTGTAAAGAAAAATCACAAATAATTATTAAGATAAAAGGTATAAAGATTGGGCGTAATGTAAGGGGTATTGTGTACACATACATATAATATATAATATACAGACACACATGCTACTTTACATATAATAAGTTAGATGTATACTTAACATTCTAATGCAATGAAATTTAAGCAATATTTTATGAAAATAAATTATGTTTTCTAGGTGACGTCTGCCACTAGTAAATACATCCCAAGGCTAGCAGATGGTGTCCAGAAAAGTTCTGAGACTGGTGATTTAGTGCCATCTGAATGGAATGTCTTTGATGTTGCACAATTTCTTCGTGTTAATGATTGTGCAACATACTGCGATAATTTTAGTAAACGTAAAATAGATGGGAAAACTTTATTGACACTCACTAAGGACCAAATAATAGACCTAACAGGTTTCAAAGTTGGACCTTCCTTAAAAATATATGATCTTATTCAACAGTTGAAAATCAAAGTGAATCCAGCTCAGGAAAGGTTGAAATTAGGAATGAAAAAGTTATTATAACAAAGCTAGTATGTAGTTAATACCCTGAATAAGTTCCATCATTGCATAAAAATAAACATGGATTTACAGGTAAGGCAAGTAGCTGCAAACAAAACAAAATTCATACTTGCAGTGATTACATACATTGTTTGTTATATACTTTATTGATATACTAATGTATATTACATATATCTACATATAGACACATGTAAAAAAAGAGAGAAAGTTACAGATACAGCACTTACTCTATCATAAGCCCTATCAAAATATTATATTGTGAATGTGAAAATAATAGGATTGTTTTGAAACAGAAGGATTATTTCATGTTTTGGGGAAAAGATGAAAACATATAAAATATGGTTTACCTGTTCCTTGAAAAATCTGATGTCAATAACCAAGTAGTTTTCAGTCGTTTGTACCTTTTCAAATATTTGTTTAGTATTACAACCTTTTCAATAATGAGTATTGAAATACTAAAGAACATATATTATCATAATATATGTAATAAAAAAATAATAAAACAATTATTTCAGTACTTTATAATAAATGGATACATTCCAGAACAAATTGTTCCAAATTAATTTGTAACATCACAAATGTGTAATATTCGTAATCTAATAAGCAAAAAATTAAAATTGATTCCATGGTAATATCTGTATAACCAGAAGTATGGTTGGCGCTTCATACATTCTCATAAATGTGAAACATAATTCATTATTCATGTTAAACATTTCTTCAAGTAGCCGTTATTTGTAAATCCATGCTTTCACGTTGCATTAAATTGTCTGCAGATGCATGAACCACACTTGAAAGCTAACTTGACTAATGTATATTTAACAATCTGTTTTTTTTTTAAAGAACAGAAATAAAAAACATGTACTTTAAAGAAGAAATATCAAGAGATTAAATCGACAAAAGATATTAAAATAGAAAGTAAAAATACAATAAAATGAACATTAAAGTACAAACTAACTTTTGGGTATGAATTCATTGCAGCTTCAATCACATTTGCCTTAACGATGCCAGTCGCGTTATTAAAATAGTTTTACATATTTTAATAAATTTGTTCATTTACTCTCTATTGTAACCAACAGGTACACGTCTGTACATAATTAAAAAAAAAAGAATGGTTAACTTCTGAACTTGTAAATATAGCATTTAGCACAATATTAGGTTTAGTTAATTTTTCTGAAACAAAATGAAGAGAACGTTACTACAATGTACAAGAGAGGTAACCGTAAGAAAGTGGTTGATGCATTTGTATATCAAATATTGTATCTGTATCTAGCTTTATACTCCTTACAGTGAATCAAACCAGTCGAACAGTGTCTAAGACTAATTTGTCTAAAACTGTTTAAATACTATTTTTAGTATGATGGAGTAACGTGGTTACTCTTCTTATTTATTCAATATTTTGGAATCTCAGTGGGTACTAATTTAGTTTGGTACCTCAGATTTTTTAGCAATTAGTTAATGAAACGTTGGAAGTAGAAGGTTCAATTAGTCAGCTATACTCTATTGCATCAATCATATCAACATTTTAATTTCTTTTTGTACAATGAAATATTTCATTTTTTTACACTGACATGCAGAGTTCCATATGAATAATTTAAGAGGTTTCTGATGAAAGGAAAGGTAGCAACGATTTCTTAATCTATTAGTGTGTACAAATTGGGAGGCATTATAGATAGTATTACAGTAATAACCTTACAAATGGTGTTTGCGTTTTGCTTTAGGTACATTAATCACGTAACTGTGAGTACACAAAGAAAATTACAATATCAGTGTTATAATTGAAACAGATTATAAAAAATTTCTACGTGTTAGTTGAATGAGTTTTAGATTTAAAATGGAATAACGTCCAATGTAAAATTCAATTACAGAAATTTCATTTGTTTTTAATGAAACAAAACTTATAAAGCATGCGTTTTTTTAAGGAATTTTTTCTGTTCAACTCTGAGCCCTAACAATTGTATGAGATATAGAAATCTTATTGAATGATATTTGTATTGACCTGATTCTCTACATAAATCACTGAATACTTCTTTAAGTGATATAACTTCATATTTGAAGTTCTTTTTAAAAGCAAATGTAACAAATAGCCAAGTGATTGGCCACACAGTTATTTTATGTCAAATTACTAACAAGAATGATTTGTGATTTCATACTTATATACGTATGATTCCGTGCTCGTCTTAAACGGACCGCTGAAAAGTCAACCGAAAAATAAAATCTATATTGTTAACCCTTTGAGTGTTTCGTCCATACTTCGCACAGGTAACTCGAGATGTTTAAAATAAACAGTTGATTGTACAAGAGGTTCAGAAGGAACAATACATTGTAACGTAACGAGTAAATACATCAAAGGTCTGAACACGAATGCAGTCTTACATCATTGCATCTTGTTTATGTACTCAGTAAGTCTTGGACCGTCAACAAATCGAAAGGATAGTTTTATTTCTTTAGAGTATTTTATTTAAAAACATATTCATACAAGAGTTGTATCCATTATTACCAAAATGAATACTGTATTGTCTAGTGTTGAATACGACAATTGCTTTAAAGTGTATCATACAAAGAGCATTTATTAAAAATTAGGAGATAAAAAATTAAAACATACGCGTAAATTATATAATTCCATATTGTTGACAACAGCTACAAGCTATTTAAATCATTAAAAAATGCACATTTTTTCCCCATTTAATTATTTTAGTAAACACTCAAAGGGTTAACTTTATGAATCTAAAATCTGGATTTGAAAATAATCATTTCCCAGATTAATGAATAATGAAGACAGACATTCATGTTAATTTCATTTGTGTAACTTCATAGTTATTCTTTTTAAGCGATAATTATATGACTTTCATTTTTTTTTAATGATGTAACATATGATTAATGTAAACAAATTCTACAAACAGTAACTATTAATACTGTCTCCAAATATTATTTTTAGCCTGTCATTATATTAAAATCAACAAAATGCTACCGTCGTGCCGTTAATGATCGACAACAGTATTTATCGATAACGCTAAGTTTAAAGGGAAAAACGTATCAGTTTACTCTCTTTTATTTGTAAGTTCGTCACTCACATATTTCCTTTATAAAAGTAAAGACAGGATGATTAAAAAAATAAATGTTTTTTCATATATATTGTAAAAATTGCAAATAATGATGGAAGTACATACATTGTTTATATTAAATAATCTGAGTGTTTATGTTGAGTTGCCGTTCCGTTACTTTTACCGAGTACTGAAACTAACCGATGGATGGCGTCGGTGGCAAGATTTTTCAGTATCTATCGATTTATTCTTAAATGATAAAAGATATTTAAAAGCCTTTCATAAAAACATTTTCTTGTCAGTACCAATAAGACGAAAAAATTTGAACTGAAAAAATCAACTACTAGCTGAGGTACCCATTTAAGTTCCAATTATTTAACAATTATTTCATGAAAAATTCATAGCAAATGCTCATTGTTAAGTACTGATACGCGCTATACATAATAAGATTTTATTATTTTCCTGTAATTATAATATAAAAAGGGTATACATATCATAAAGCTAGATTATTATAGAATATGCGATTTCAGAACGAAAATAACGCATTAAGATCGTTCGAAGTCATAAAAACGAAAGTAGCAATTATAAATGCTTTATTTTAAATGAACTATATACTGCTCGAAGAATGAATTCGATGGAACGAGCAATTAAAGAAACAAGTGAATTTAATTCGAATTTTACTTTGCTTCATCTATATTGTGTACACATTTTTCTACCATTCATCTCGCGACGCATTTGTCTAGAAATATATAAGACAGAACACTTAGGATGTTTTATACGTGCGGGGAAGAAATTTTTATTGTCAACTTTCGGATCGTGTAACACTGCGCGCAGGGCTGGTGAAGGACCAGGATAGAAGTATTACATGTGTGGTAACCGCGCAGTCATGGATATACAGATGATCAGAACGTTGTGTGCGTGGGTTTAACTCGCGCAGGTGGGGGAAGTGGGGGAGACTAGCGTATTCTATAGGCGGGGCCTCTGCCAGCTGGCAGATGTTTCCCGCGCGGCCGCACCATTCCTCTAGCGTAAACCTACGCGACGTGAAAGTAGTCCCTACTAACGCGTTAAATATTTCTAACAATAGCTCGCCGAGGAGATAGCTAGGTGCACTAGTGATTCGGTGCAAAGCAACGGTCGGCCTGAGCGCAACTACCTGCAGAAAAGTGCGGAAACTCGATGTGAAAGCTAAGATGAACTGGTGTGGGATTGGTCCAAAGAGAGTCGCTGTCCAGGGCAGAGTATTGCGTAGCCTTCACCCTAACCGCGTCCACTAAACTTCTCACGCGTGCCTTGAAAATGGTTTTTGATCGTATAACAACGTAAATCTTCGTGCACGTTCACGATCGTGTATCCGCGAGTATTGCCGTCGTTGTATTTCTTTCCTCTGTGCGCGAGTGCTATTTCCATCGACAGTGTGCCGGATGATAACGTGTAGTATATTCCGCCATGTGATAGTTTCGATCGTGTGTGGACGTAGAACAATGTTCCGCGTTACAACGAAATTCATCGCACGATTCGTTTGAAATGTATAATTTTCCGCGACATTCAACTAACCAACCACCGTTTTTTATTAATAATAATTTCTGTGAAATTAAAGAATACATGAGGAATTGTGTCATTCGTGTAAGTGTACATCGAAGTTAACAGTTGCATCGATCGGGTATATGCGAGAAACCGAAAGTACGTTACGTATTGTAGACACGCAATCGATAATAAATTATGGTCAATGTGAGACATAATTGATGACCAAAAATTAAGCAAGAGTGAAGGATATTGCGTGTACAAAATACGAAGAAAGGGGCACTGGTTGAACCTTAGATCGTGACGATCCTGAAGCCGGCGGCGGAGTGATTCGTGGTGCGTTGTGGGGGCCCTCAGCTGTTTCCCGCCAAAGATCGCCATTACAAAACGCGTTCGGGCGTTGTGTGTTCGCCGCGCGGAGTGGCTGTCCCGTGGACGAATCTCAGTGCGTGCCACCGCGATAGAAAAAAAAATTAATTACGAGTTCCGGAGTTTCCGCGTCGCAAAGGGCGTGAAGTGTGCGCGTTGTTTTTCGGTGGAGTGTGCGAGAAGCCCGTCGTCTTGTTCGCTTTCGCGACGACGGCTGCTGAGACGTGGAATCGCGCGGCGCAATTCTTAGTGCTACGGACCAACGAGATATGTCAGTGTTTGGTGGTGAGGATCGAATTCTGCTTGAGGAAATTGTTGAAGCCACTGAGGAACAGGGAACAAGTTTGTGCGGGTAAGTGTTTGCCATGTATAAACGGTTTCACAAATTGAACGCGAAACTTCAATGTGGTTACGAATACGCGTATAGACCACATGTATCGAGACGGAAAACCCGTACACGAGTCACATATGCGTTGTGTGCGTATACGTCAGCACATAATGTACAGAATAGCATGATTTGCCACACCAACACGTCATTTCTGGGTTTAAATAGATACATAATACAGTTTAACGCCATCCTCGCATACGCTTACCGCCGAGGTGATACGAATTTATCGGCAAACGAAGGCATGCTCGTCCCTCTTATCGAGTTATGCCGATTGCGAGTGTATCAACGTCCATCACCTCCTCTTCCTCCTCGTCGTCGCTACCGCCTTCGTTACCGCCGCCACTGTCGTTGTAGTCGTCCTTAGTTGTGTGGTCGTGTCGTCATGGTGGGTCGTTATCGTTACGTGGTGGTCATGTCGTTGTTTTCGTTGTTTTCTTCGTTGTTTCTGTCAGTTTTGTTGTCGTCGTCGATGACATCGACGTTGCCGTGGCATTGGCAAATCTCGGTTAATCGTGACATAAAACGTAAAACGTGTGCATAATACAAACAAAATCTATTTAGTTGTGCTTCCTCGATAACCAGCTGTCGTGAAGCCGGCCGGCCGGCTCGCTGGCTGCCCGGCCGGCACAATAGCCTTCGCCTTTCACATGATGCAATTACGCGATATTCTCTCGTCTATGTCGATTTAAATTTCGATTACTTCGATTTTTATATCATATCGTTCCGTTGCAGTTTCTCTTTTTTTCACGACCGAGGGAAACTCGTACATCGAAGTCAGTTGAAATCGTAACCACCATGCGTTCACGCCCAAACAAGCATGGCGCGGGAGTGTAGCTTGGCAGAATATATCTTGCGAATAGTAAATAGTAAATAGCTTATTTTCTCACCATTCTTTTTCCTTGCAATTAAAGTAAGATATTACTGCTTGTATAAAGCATAAAACATAAAAAGTAGTATATTACTTCGATTTTGCAAAATTCTTTTGCTGTTATTTCATTTTATTTTACACTTACTGAATGTACTTCGTTCCATTTTTGGAACTAAGAGGAATTTGATAATTTTATTTAGTATCGAAAGGATAATTTTTCGAAAAAAAGTTTACTATTTTTCATAAATTTTATGTACTTCTACCGAAGTTTCGGGTATCTAGATATGTATCACTAATTATTAAGTTTCTATTCAATTATTTGCGGAATATAAATCGATTGCATAAAAATTAAATATGGTACTATATGTACATAATTTACATTTATTACATGAACTATTACTGTTGAATCTAGTATTGTATTAGTTATGTAATTTTTGAAATAATTAGTAAGCTTTTACGTTTTTTTGAAAAGAATTGAAGCTTTTAATTACACATTAGCATTCTTGGGTGGTGTCTTAGCTATTCAGTATTTCTCAAACAACACACATGACTCGAGTAGTCTTACACATTGTACAAGAATAAAATAAAGGACATTTTATAAGAATAATATAAGAGGAAAATAAATCAAAATGTCCAATAAGTGCGCGCGAACGTGTGAATTGAGGTGAGACACCGACTCTAATTTCTGCGGGGGTATTAACTGTAAAAATGTTTCTTGACTTTTTTTTTTAACATTGTAACTTTTTTGGTAGTCCTGTTTTCAGTAGGTCTTCGAATAACGCGGGCTAGAACAACGTGGATTTTTTTCTTAAAAACTTTCGGAATCAACCGCGTACCTATTTGAGGGGGTTCAGGAAGAACAAGAGCATAGGTGACATTCATAAATCATAAATTATGATAGTCACAGCAATTAGACGCCTATCGAAAAAAAAAGACGGAGTAGACCCTCTCAACTCGCTGTTGCAACATGTAATACGCTTGGTGTAACAATTCGAATGAAAATAACGTTTTCTTTTCTTTAACTAATACAGGGATCCATTAGACCAGAATATATGTATTATTTTCATTTGGGTACAAATGGGGTGTAACGTGTTACAATATAATTACATTTAACTTCGTTGCAACATTCAATCTTACACAACTTCTTTCGAAGGTTTGTTAAGTTTGTACAATGAAGTCTTGAGTATTCATTGTAGAATGTATTATTTTCAGTCTGTACATTGTCATCATTTACAAATGCTTAGCTATTAAAAATTTTAGTTTACATAAAAATAACTAGTATGTAGTTTTACGGAGGGTCGAGTGGACTACAGAAAATATTTGGAAAAACTTCTGTCTTCATTAATTTCTATAGTAATGTAACACAAATTTTGACTTTTTCACTAACCACATTTAAATAATAGGTATGTAGTTCGACAGTGCAACATCAAAACAAGTGAAAAATAAAGTGGTCTTTGTATTGATGTGAATACCATTTATTAAATGATAATAATTTATTTGGAATGGCATTAATAGCAAACCACGAATTTTTTCCGATATCTAATAAATATAATAGTTGTATTGACCGAATGTTTGAAAAGTTGACGATGATGATCGTTTGAAACCAGTATGTACAAGCATGGAAGAAATATTACCTTACAAATATTAAGATGTTCGATATATTAATGAAAATTTACTTAATGAAATGAACGATGAAAAAAATATATCGACAACAATTTTGTCTGGATGAAATTAGTAAAATTATTGATCAGTGTGGTCCGAATTCGTTTATGATTCGGTTCGTGGCTTTATATTTTCGGATACAACAATTTCCACGGTAAATTATATCGCGTTTGAAATAAATCATACCGGTTTTCTGCGAGGACTCCGGCGGTAAATGGTCGCTCGACTGGGCATCCGTGGTCGCGATTAATCGTTTCTCGGAATGTTATCGTGTGTTGTCTAAACAGGTTTGGAATGTATGTACGGTACTCGAGCGTTTGTACATATCTCTCGGCTCCGTACACTCGTTTCCTTCATTTCCCTCTCGACGCCGTGTCGGTGTGTATCACGGCCACGATACAATCGAAATCACTCGGAGAGAAAAACACACGTCGGGGCCTCTGTAATACCTTCAAGTGCAAACTCTTGTACTCTCCAATGTTGTCCAAATACATATTATCTCCTACGGTTTTAAATAATACAATATACAGCCAGCCCTCGAACAACGCGGCTCTGGTTACGTGCAGATTTTTTTGTTAAAAAATTTTGGAGCCATCCGCGTGCTTATTTGGAGGGAGAGGGGGGGGTGAGAAAAAACGAGAGCACAGGTGATATCCATGACAGCCATAAATTACGGTAGTCACGTCAGTGAGACGTATATCGAAGCAAAAAAAGGTAATTAATTATTGAAACTCCTTTATCCGTCACGTAAAATATTTGTCTGAATCTAATGAGTTATTTCAGACAACTTCTTTTTTAGAGTACGATCCGTTCGACAAGGTAACCAATTGTTCTTCTTGTAACGAAAATTCACAACTCGATGTATTAATTGGGCCAAATGGATTTCGTATATAATTTCGCGAGACACTTGTAAAGCTGCGTACTCACCAAGCGAGCGAGCACGAGCAAGCGAATACGTCTTTCTGTTAATGTACCGACACGAATCGGATCATTCAGCGATACACACCAAACGAGCACTGAGTGAGAATGCTCGCTTGCTTCTGTTCGCTCGTGCTCGCTCGCTTGGTGAGTTCGCGGTTTAACAAGTTATGAAACACCAGTGAATCGAGGAACATCAGTTAAGAACCATTCATTTAAACTTTTAACTCACAATTATAGTAATTTCTCGCACCTCAATACAGAAGCACTATTGAATATGTATAAAAACGATCCGATGCAATTTTCTCTGCAATAAACGTACGTAAGATCTGAATTGTATTAATGTAAGTGTTATGATATGATTAATTAAGAGATTCTATTGTAATTCTATATTAATGAACAGAAAAGTGAAATATCATTGAAAGGTGTAGTACAAGCACAAACGATGAATTAACTGGCCTTCCTGTATAGTGTATATGTAATAGGTAAAAAAAAAGTGAAATTTCCGTATAGATCCAAAGCCTACAATCGAATACGATCATTATGATCCCACCACACTGGTCAAAGATGAAATGTTAAAATTATGACGTGGTAGGGGAAAAGGACGGGTCACAGTCGTTATCTCGCCACACGGATTTCGCTTAGTTCGGCCAACTATACGTGAGCAGTTTCAGCTCTCTCCGTTTGGGAGCCGTTTCTTCTTTTCCCTTTCGGCTTCTTTTCCGACGTGCATGGTTTTTCGAATCGTCGTCTCCTGTAGCTTCCGTTTACATTGTTTTAGCGAGCGGTGCGGAGCGAGGGGATTTTCAGTCGGTGACAGGTCCGCGAGCACGAGCTAGCCTGGCGAAAAAAAAGAGAAGGAAACAAAAGGACAAGGAAAGTGAGTTCCTTTGTATACGGCCGAGTGACCGACAAGACCGGGGTATACAACTATGCGCGTTACGTAAAGCCACGTTTGTTGCACAATAATGGATTTCTATAAATAACTCGACGCATGCCGCTTCGCCACGACTCCTTGTTTACGTACGCTCATCACCTCTCCATTACCTTCACTTGCATAGAGTTTCGATCTAACATCTATTATAATGTGTGGTCCTACGATACACTAATCAGGTACAGATCGTTCAATACCTCTGAATGAATCCTGGTAATAGTAGAGTTGTGATCACGTGAACGTTCAGCTGACCCACTGGGTTTTATTTGTATGTATTTGCCCATTGCACAAGTATAACTCGGTGAATCGAATTCTTTATCATTCCCTTGCATTCTGTCGTCGATACCGTTTATAAAATGTGACGCTGGTTCACAGAGCGGTCGTGAAACACATCCCCAAAAACAGAAAAATCGATTTTGTTTCCACATGAGCCTTAAGTCAGGCGGTCAATAGCGACCGTACAATGACTGCCTATGAACGTCGAACTACATAGTATCGTAGTACAATAATAGTTTTCTATGTAAGATCTCAAAATTTACATACACTTTTCATATGAATATTATCCAAAGATTCTCAATTGGA